GTAATATTTATTTCTTTTCCTACCCATATTTACATTTATAGACACTTAAACGCGTATAAAACAATAAATTAACGATTTTCGCTACAGACACATCGACTGTTGTTACCTTACGTCACACGTCGAAGCGCCTGGTAATTTATTACGGCAAACTTTTATCTGGCATTATACGATATTATTACTAGGTGTTTTTAATTAAAACGAATTATGTTAATAAATAATATTTTGTATCGAAAATAAAGATAGCAGGTACCTTTGGAATTACAATACAAACATTTTTACGTAAAAGAATTTATCCTAAATTAAAATTCACAGAGTTTTGGAAGAACAATAATTTTATATATGATTTCTTAACATTCTTTTATTTTTTGGTATATTCATTTATTTTAAAATTTTAAAATGACAGTGACATTGTGAAGGACCCGAACAAACCTACAAAAATGTTTTAAAGCTTAGAATTACTTCAGGTCAAAGTTCTAGTCAAGAGAAATACATTAATTTTCGCCAGTTCTCTTCGTATTCGGCCTTAAGCAAGCCTTCTCATGCAAAATTTTATAAATAAATTATTTTATCAACACACAGTAGGGCAGCGAGTAATATAAAATTCAACTGCAAATATGAAGACACGCCTACAGGAAAGAAAAACACAAGCTGCCTTTATGAATTACATTTTAACACCACCGCCATCTATCGATGACATCTGTTAAGTATTGTACTTTAGATACTAAGATTAATTTTATTATTTGTTCATATTTATTAACTAATTTTTTATTACTTTTATTTAATGCGTTAAAGATATAATCATATCGTTAGGGAAAATCATTTTACATAATTTAATTATGATTTATGATATAAGATTAAAATGCACTTGATGACTCAACGCCGCTATTGAACAAATGTGTAGGTACTTATAATTCGTGCCCATACTTCAGGATATTAGTCATAACTTTTAATAGAATGAACCGATTTTAATAGTACAAACTAAATTTAACAAAATGATACGCTTTATAATTTACATTCCGAATATTTTGATATAAATTACAGTTACTTTATACGTGATACATTAACAAACAAAGAGACAGACAGACAGACAGACAATTCTGAAAATGGTAGAAATGTATTTAATTACTTATCTTTAATCCCCCCGCCCCCCAATCACTTTTAATATAAAGATATAAAATGTACAGACATTGATTAAAACTACTTTTACGGATTTTATCGCATTTTATTTATATTAATGTTAATACCCGACGTTTCGGGTGCTTTCCAGCACCCATGGTCACGGGGGACTGAGGTGACTGACGTCCCGATGTCAAAGTTAACCCGGAGTACCTTCAGCTTTTTAATTATTGTCTTTAGTCCGATCTACGCAGAATGAACTAACTGTATTTTGAAGTCTTGCAGTGGTATGCTTGGGTTTAGTTTTAATTTTATTAATTATAGGATCCCAAGCAGGTGGTAGTACCCAGCCTCCTTCTCTATTGAAATTAGGATGTTTTTAATTTCAATAGGCTCACGTATCATCCTTGGTAGGAATCGATGTTCTTTCGCGAGGATTTGTGGTCTATCAAATCTGATGTAATGGTTGGGGCCATCTAGAATATGATCGCAAACTGCAGACTTCCCGGAACGTTGATGCTTCACGTCAGCTATGTGTTCTTTTACGCGGGTTCTAATTGATCTCTTTGTTTGCCCTATATATGAGAGACCACAATCACAATCAAGCTTATACACTCCTGCATCTTGTAGAGGAATATGACACTTGACGGATGGTAAGAACTGACTAATCTTCTTCGGCGGCTTGTAGAATGTTCTAATAGAAGCTCGCTTCAAGATGTAGCCAATCTTGTTTGTGACACCTCTGACATATGGTAGCATAGCAGGCACACGCTCGACTGTGGCCGGCTTCACTCGGTCACTGTGACGGAGGCACGGGACCCGAAGCTTGTTGTCGTGCAGAACCTGCTTGACGTGCTGAAGCTCGGCGGCTAGGTGTTTGCTGTCACAAATCCATCGTGCTCTCTGAAACAAAGATTTGCCCACGGTAGCTAACTGTGAAGGATGATGGTGAGATTCACCATTTAAGTATCGGTTTGTATGGGTCTTTTTTCTATACACAGTATGACCTATGGTGTTGTTAGGATTTCGGATGATTAACACATCTAGGAAAGCTAAGGAATTATTTGCCTCTAACTCCATAGTAAATTGAATTTTAGGGTTTATGGAATTAAGATGTTCTAAAAATGCAGTTACTTTGTCTGATGGTAAAATTGTGAAAGTATCGTCTACGTACCGCTTGTAGAACCTTGGGGTAACAGGTGCGGTAAGGAGGGCTTTCTCCTCAAAGTCTTCCATGAATATATCGGCGATAATGGGGGATACAGGTGAGCCCATCGCAACACCATCTACTTGCTTGTAAAACTCTTCCTTCCACAATAGATGGTCAGATGAAAGGCAATGTCTTAGTAGCACTGCATATTCTGGTTTCATGTTATTTTCATCTAGTTTCCTAGTTATAATTGAGATGCAGTCTTCAACAGGTAGGCATGTAAATAGAGACTGAACATCAAAACTGACCATGGTTTCATTGTCAGCAAGACGTAGGTCTTTTATCTCACTGACAAAATGGTATGAATCCTTAGTATGTGCTCTTGTGTGTCCTCTGAAGACTGCATCTCAATTATAACTAGGAAACTAGATGAAAATAACATGAAACCAGAATATGCAGTGCTACTAAGACATTGCCTTACATCTGGCTATCTATTGTAGAAGGAAGTGTTTTACAAGAAAGTAGATGGTGTTGCGATGGGCTCACCTGTATCTCTCATTGTCGCCGATATATTCATGGAAGACTTTGAGGAGAAAGCCCTCCTTACTGCACCTGTTACCCCAAGGTTCTACAAGCGGTACGTAGACGATACTTTCAAAAATTTTACCATCAGACAAAGTAACTGCATTTTTAGAACATCTTAATTCCATAAACCCTAAAATTCAATTTACTATAGAGTTAGAGGCAAATAATTCCTTAGCTTTCCTTGATGTGTTAGTCATCCGAAATCCTAACAACACCATAGGTCATACTGTGTATAGAAAAAAGACCCATACAAACCGATACTTAAATGGTGAATCTCACCATCATCCTTCACAGTTAGCTACCGTGGGCAAATCTTTGTTTCAGAGAGCACGATGGATCTGTGACAGCAAACACCTGGCCGCCGAGCTTCAGCACGTCAAGCAGGTTCTGCACGACAACAAGCTTCGGGTCCCGCGCCTCCGTCACAGTGACCGAGTGAAGCCGGCCACAGTCGAGCGTGTGCCTGCTATGCTACCATTTGTCAGAGGTGTCACAGACAAGATTGGCTACATCTTGAAGCGAGCTTCTATTAGAACATTCTACAAGCCGCCGAAGAAGATTAGTCAGTTCTTACCATCCGTCAAGTGTCATATTCCTCTACAAGATGCAGGAGTGTACAAGCTTGATTGTGATTGTGGTCTCTCATATATAGGGCAAACAAAGAGATCAATTAGAACCCGCGTAAAAGAACACATAGCTGACGTGAAGCATCAACGTTCCGGGAAGTCTGCAGTTTGCGATCATATTCTAGATGGCCCCAACCATTACATCAGATTTGATAGAACACAAATACTCGCGAAAGAACATCGATTCCTACCAAGGATGTTACGTGAGGCTATTGAAATTAAAAAACATCCTAATTTCAATAGAGAAGGAGGCTGGGTACTACCACCTGCTTGGGATCCTATAATTAATAAAATTAAAACTAAACCCAAGCATACCACTGCAAGACTTCAAAATATAGTTAGTTCATTCTGCGTAGATCGGACCAAAGACAATAATTAAAAAGCTGAAGGTACTCCGGGTTAACTTTGACATCGGGACGTCAGTCACCTCAGTCCCCCGTGACCATGGGTGCTAGAAAGCACCCGAAACGTCGGGTATTAACATTAATATAAATAAAACGCGATAAAATCCGTAAAAGTAGTTTTAATCAATGTATAGTGTTCGCGTAAATATAAGAAAACATTATGTACAGACATCTGCAATTTACATTTTTATGACATATGTAGATTAATTAGATTAAAAATAAATAAACCAAACCACAGATATTTATAAAACCCCGTGTCACACAAATCTGTAGGAGCCATATAGGCTAACAGCACTTACATTTAAGAAAATAGATTGTTTGTGTATTACTATAATACTCCAGAAACTAATAAAATTTTGCTTAAAGCTAACTTCTCATTTCAATAGCATTGCGTAAAAAAACCTTCACCTCGATTTGAACTAGCGACATCTGGTGTAATTAAAAAGTTAAATATACGCGATAAATTCCGTAAAAACTGGTATTATTTCAATGACATCTGGTGAGTTGAAGATTATTAGCCCTCATTGCCTGCAAAGCGCGACGATTAAGTCATATCCTAAGTTGGAACGTGAGAGGTCCGTGTATAGAAGTGGGCTTAAAAAACAAATAATAGTAATAATGTCCCCCAGACCGAATTTCAGTCATGGAGATCAGCCTCAACGGAGAGTAGTCATTGGCTCAGGACAGGATTATAGTGCCCACGTATATGCGCTAGCACAAGTGCACGCTCTATTCCCTCACTCTCATATTCCAATGGTACGGTAAACCGATACGACTGGTATCAGGCTCTGGACTAACGATTTTACGTGATTTTCGAGACACGGACGTAAGACACCACCAACTTCCCGACTCCGGGCAGTTATTAAGAATTTCTTAATGGAAAAACTCAATAACTTGTAATTTTGGCCCGACCCGGGAACCTACAGGGAGCACATGAGCAACAGTCATACTACCACAGCCACTAGAACAACGAGGCAAGCCTTTAAACTATAGAAGTCATGAATTACGACATAGTAGAGCAGACGGAAGTAGCGAAATTGTAATAGTTCCTCATATGAAAGTGGAACCCTAAAAAGTTATATTATTATATATTATTATAATATTATTCTTATCTTCCAGGATGACGTGCGAGGTGCTCTCGGATCCTTTCTCCAGACTTTTATGAACGTCGGATACTTATTAGTGTATGGCATTGGTCCCTACACCTCATACAGCGTAGTGGCATACGTTGGCCTGGCATTTGTGGCTGTGTTCGCGATCTGTTTCTTTTTTATGCCAGAAACGCCCATGTATCATCTTAGTAAGAGTAAGTATTATTTATATTTCTATTTCTTTTTTTAGGTATTTCATTTAAATGTTGAATTGCAAAACCTAGCAGTTTCCATAGCGAATGTTAAAAACCTTACCTAATCATTATTATTTGAGGTACCTTAACTAATCATATTAAGAGTCTTGTGAGAGAGGGGCGGTAGTGAGACGCGGTAACAATATAGTCCGTGCAAAAAGTTATTTAAAAACATAATTAAAGTGAATTCAGTGATAAAAAATCATACAAGTGACAATAAACTAGTGAATATGACTATATAGTGAAGACAAGATCCTAAGTTAATGAATAATACACAAAAAACCAAAAAAACTGAAGTGTAAGCATACAACAATCTACGAACTTTTCGAGTCCTTCGTCGCGAATGTAGGAACTTAATTTGTACCAGTGTTAATTTATGATAGTTCCGAAGTGGGAACAAATGAAAAATCGTGAAAGCTACTCTTTTTTGGAAAAACATAACCTCATACCTAAATGATTCTGCAATTTCGCTTACCTGCTATAGTAAAGTAAAATACGAAACAGCGCCATCTGTTAGAAAAGAAGCACAATACGAATACGAAACAATATTAACCAATTTTACTAGAGGGCGCAAGGAGTACCGTAACAAAACAGATACTATGGAGGAAATTATGAAAGCCTTACAAAATATTCAAAAAGAACTAAACGTATAAAAACAAGTAACACTCAACATAACTAACAAATTAGAAGAGAAATTTACCATACTGGAAGAAAAATATAAAACCTTGAAAGTAAATGTTGAACAACAAGAAAAAGAATTCAATTTATGGAAAAACAAGCAAGACAAAGAAACAAAAATTTCTCCGGTGTTGAGGAGAGTGAGACATCCTATCATAACTTGGAGAACAATATATTGCAATTCATAAATAAAAAATTGTTTGTTGTATTGATTGTTGATTGTAGAGATATTCAAGAAATAAAGAGAGTGGGGAAAAAAGGTGATAAGTTGCCACCAGTAATTGTAACCTTTTCTACCCTTGGTTCAAAGATCAGCATTCTCAAGCAAAAAATATTATTATAAGATACTCAATATTACTTGAACGAGGATTACCCCAAATACATATTAGAAAAAAGAAAAAACTACAGGAAGAAGCAAATACCGAGCGTGAGAAAGGAAATAAAGTCAGAAATACCATCGCAGTGGGTAGAGTCAGAAATAATTTTAATTTATAAAAAAGGTAACTCAAAAGATATCACAAACTACAGGCCTATAAGCTTACTTCCGTGTATCTACAAACTGATTTCCTCTATAATTAACAAAAGAATAAGTGTCACAATAGCAGGAAACCAACCAATAGAAAAAGCAGCTTTTCGCAAGAGCTTTTCAACAATCGACCATATACATACTCTAGAACAAATAATAGAAAAATACCACGAGAAGCAAAGAACGCTCTACATCGCATATATCGATTATAAAAAAGCTTTTGATACCGTGTCACATTCAAGCATATGGACCGCCCTGCAAGCCAAAAAAGTTGAACAAGTGTATGTAAATATAATCAAAAACATTTACATAGGTAGCACAGCAAAAATAAAACTAGAATACACTGGTCCTACGTTCTCCTTCGGAAGAGGCGTGAAACAAGGCGACCCGCTGTCTCCTAAATTATTTATATCTATCCTAGAGTCAATAATAAAAAGATTCAACTGGGAAAAGACAGGATTAAACATCAATGGCAAGTGTTTATCCCACTTACGCTTCGCAGATAACTTAGTTCTGCTATCAGAATCTAGCACACAATTACAAAATATGATCGATTCACTAAACACAGCTAGTAAGTAGGTAAGACTAGAAATGAATCTTGCGAAAACAATGGTCATTACAAATAGTATACAGAGAAGAATATCAGTGCACAATGAAACTCTGAAATATACAGAGAAATATATATATACTTTGGAAAACAACAGAAAACTGCTTCAACAGAAAACAGAATGAATTAGAAGTAGAACGAAGAGTACAAAATACTTGGAACAAGTACTGCTCCTTAAAACAGATATTTAAAAGTAACATGCCAACAAATATGAAAACAAAAGTCGGGATGTCATGCCTCCTACCTTGTTTAACTTACGCATGTCAATCTTGGAAATTTACATCCAAATTAAAAAGCAAAAACAATACCTGCCAACGCGGAATAGAACGAAGTATGCTCAACATTAAAAAGACGCAAAAACTTAGTCACACAAAAATTAGAGAAACCACCAAAGCGGCGGATGCTCTAACCTACGCTAAAAAACTAAAATGGAAGTGGGCTGAACACGTAGCGAGGCTAAAGGACGAGAGATGGACCACCAGGTTAACAACGTGGAAGGGTCCAATCGGCAAAAGTCTCAAAGGCAGACCCTACACGAGATGGGTAGACGAATTGATAAAAATAGCTGGTACCTGCTGGCCGCAAATAGCTGAAGATAGAGACACATAGAATTCTTTAAAGGAGGCCTTCACCTTCACTTGAGGAGGGGTTCACGCAAACAAACTTATATATTATTGTCCAGATTGAAACTTTTTTTCTATTCTATATATTATTATTATTATAGGGGTATCTGTATAGTTTTCTGATCTGGTTGGTTTCTATAAATATATAATTATAAATTAAAATGAAAAGATAAATATACTTAAATATCAATAAAATAAAATAAATACAAAAAATACACAAATAAATAAAGATCCAACCAGATGGAAGCCCTCGGCACAGGAGACCAAACGACCGAGCGTTAGGAGGAAAGGGAAAGAAACCGACGGACGATGCGGTCGGTATCGAGGACCACTGCCTTCTGCATTTGAGCCCGGAGCGGTCCGTCACGGAGTCCCAGTCGCCTCAGATAACCAGAGAGGCTGACTGGGATTAGCCCATTCGCAGAGACAATACAGTAATAATTTCGATCGGCCGACCACCCCACATGTCGGTCAACTCGTGAGCCAGGTACAGATATATTGTTCGCTTATCTGTTTCGGCTTTCAAGAGGTTCGGATATACGGAATGTTAATGTCGACCAAAAATATCCTTGACTGTGCCCGGTCCATCAGCACAATATCAGGCTTATTCGCAGAATAGTCCTGTCTGTGATGATGGCCTGGTCCCAGTAGAGCCTGGCGCGGTCATTTTCGAATACGGCTTCCGGCAAGTACTTGTAATACGGCACTTTCCGGTCCACGAAACTATTTCAGAGCGAGCTCCTGGTGTAGAATTCTGGCTACTAGGTTGTGCCTGTGCAAGTACTCAGAGTTAGAAAGCGCCGAACAACCGGAGATGACATGCCTAAGTGACTCCCCAGGCTGGCGACAAGCTCGACAGACGTCGACGGTGCCATCCTTTAGGATGTATCTCCGATAGTTGTTGGTCTTAATAACCTGATCGTGTATTGCACAGACAGAATCCTCGGTTTCCCCGAAGAGGTCACCGAAGCGTAGCCAGTTGAGGGAGGCGACTGTATCTACGAAGGGCTCATGTAGAGCCTTTTAGTACCTCCCGTGGAGCTCCTTCTCCTTCCATACGGTCTCCCGGTCGGAAATGCTAAGCACTGCTGGGTCCTGCCATTGTTCGTTGGCTAAGGTTAGAGGGGTAAGCCCTTTATCACTAGCAATGACGTCATTATAGAATGAATCATCCGATATCGCCAAGTAGTATTGACGGAGACTGCACACTTCGCGATTATGCATGGTGAGCGCGCTCAGAAAGCCACGCCTACCGTGCTTTCGCGGCAAGTATAGCCTCATTACCGACGATCTCGGATGATGCATCCTATGGGACGTCATTGTAGTGCGGACCTTTCTATTCAGGGCGTTAAGCTCAGTCTGAGTCCACCTGAGTATGCCAAAGTATGCATGAGGACAGGCATAAACCAGCAGTTATATGCGTGTGACTTATTCACACCGGACAAAAGGCTGTTAAGCACTTTGGTCAAGGGTGCATAAAGTAAAGTAAGTAAAGTAAAGTTACAGCCTAAATACGTCCCACTGCTGGGCACAGGCCTCCTCTCATTTCTAAGAGGGTTTTAGGGCAAGTAAATGTTCGCCGCGCTGCCCCAGTGCGTGTTGGCGAACTTTACATGTCTTCGAAATATTTTTTTTTCTTATTTCTCAGACATGCAGGTTTCCTCACGATGTTTTCCTTCACCGCCGAGCACGTGGTAAATCAGCACTTAAAATTGCAATTAACAATTTCATTGGTGCCGGCGGGGATCGCTTTGCTCGCGTATTGTGAAATTCATACAGCGAGCGCTAACCATCTTAGCTAACACGGCTACCTAAAACACGCATAAAATACGTCGCAAACTGACTGTTTCATACCAGCCTCATCGATACGGATGTTCTGTGACATACCCAGGTATCGGTATGTTTTAGTCTCGGAAAGGGTCCTTAAGTTGACAGGCATACACAAGTCTATGCCCTCAGAGTTAGCAACCCTTCCCCTTTCAACATGGAGGACCGCACACTTATCCGTCCCCAGCTCCATTCCAATGGAATTGTTAAATTCACAAGTGATGTTTAGCAGTTCCATAAGATGGGAGCGACTGGAGGCGAATAACTTGAGGTCATCCATATAGAAAAGGTGGGTCACTTTTGTCCCTCCTTTCCGTAGCTGAAATCCCCTCCCGGAGCCCTCCAGTAAGGTACTGAGAGGGTTCAGAGAGAGGTAGAACCAGATTGGACTCAGATAATCGCGCTGGAAGATACCCCTTCTTATCCTTATGTGATTCTCCGCAGCCATCATCCGCTCGCCCAGATGACAAAGGATCATACTCCACTGTCCTATACACTGCTTGAGGAAGTCTCTAACTGTACAGTCAATCTTGTACAGCTCGAGGACCCTCTTTAGCCATGTATGGGCCACCGAGTCGAACGCCTTTCTGTAGTCTATCCAGGCGGTAGAGAAGTTCCGACGGTTGCGTTTCACCACTTTGCCTATGACCGCGTCAATGAGGAGTAGTTCCTTGGTTCCACGACCACCGCCCCGACATCCATTTTGAGCGCGTGACATCACCTGGTTTAGCTCCAGGTGACGAGTGATTCTCGCGCTCAAAATGGATGTTATTATTATTATTATCTGCATTAACGCTCCTTTTAGGGTTTTAAGATTCGGCATTGGCTGATCGCAAGATGCCGCTCTTTTGTTTAAATTGTGAGGTGGCGACGTACTATCGCTGTCGTATCCAAAATTACGGCTTTTTGAATTTTGTTCCTCACCGTCACTGAAATGCCCAGCTTAGTTAAATTGTCAGTACGGGATTTAGGAACAACTCCCGTGGTAGAGAGAATCAGCGGGACGATAAGTACCTGCTGCTGTCGCCTTAACTGTCGGATTTCTTCAGCTAACCGCTGGTACTTAATAAAATTTTCAGTGCTGTATTTCTGCACATTATGCGAGTTTGGAATGCCAATATCAAATATATATAGGATAGGAAAAATAGGAAAATAGGATAGGAAATTGCTTATAAAATAGTGATATTATCTCTTATATTTTATTAATGTCGTATATAATATGAATGTTTAACTATTTTATGATGTGTTTAAATTTGTAATTTTTGTGAAATATAGTTGTTTTGTGCTATTATTGGGAAATGAAGTTACGATAAAATATATGGAAATATGAGAGTAAAAATTGTCGACTTATGCTTTTTTAGTAAGTTGCAAAATTTTCATTTTGTTCGAGATACTTCAGGATAAGTCACAATTTTTAGTTTGAAATCAATAAATAAAAAGAAAATGGTAAAAGTAAAGTAGGGAAAAAGTAGGGAAAATAGTGAAATTTCGATATCACATTTCCAAGAGTAAAAATGTGCTATGCAAGATGATGTTGTGACCAGGATTAGGAAAGGAATGCTTTGGTGATTTGGTCATGTGGGAAAGAGTGACAAAGCGTATTTGTATGGCAGATGTGAACGGCAGGGTCGGGAAAGGAAGCCCTAGATGAAAGTGTATCGATCAAATTGGCGATATTTTGAAAATGGGACACATTAGAAGTACCCTTAACCAACAAGTTTGTATGCGTAGATATATGGATATAAAGGAGGCGAGGGTGGTATGTCAGGATCGAGCCAAATGGAAGTCCGTAGGCTCTGGGTGACAGGCATGAGTGTTTATGTATAATGTATGTACATTTCCAAGGGGCAGTTACGAATAATATCTGTTTTATAAGGTAATTAAGAAGATATACAGTCCTCTAATTTCATGACTGACATCTAGACCGGAAACATTCATTGAAGCCCGTAATCTTAGTCGTCAACCACTTCCTATTGGGAGAGCGGTTAAGGTCAGTGGAGGGTCTTATCAGGGGCCACGACCACCGCGTTGCTTCCCGAACGCTACGAGGTGTGGTATAGGGAAGGGGGTCAGTAATTGGTTAATCAATGTTAAGGGCGTAAGACGAAGAACGAGACGCGCCCTTTCAGTGGTATGTCAGTATTTAACATAGATATTAACAATATCATTGGTGGATCGCGCGAGTTGCTCGCATACTGTGAAATTCTCATCGAGCGCTTAACCCTAGAGCTACCACCGCTCTTATATTTATTTATAAAATAAATAAACTGTCTTTTAACAGATAACCGGGAGCTAGCAGAGCAATGCTTGAAGCGTATACGTGGACAATCCCACGCGGGTGTTGAATCCGAGCTTAACCAAATGGCTGCTCATATCAGCGCGTCAATGGAGAAGACTGCAACGGTCAGTTTTGATCTTGTATTCCCGGGTTTCTTTATTGGTAAAAGACGTCTCTTGTTCTACTCACCTTATCAAAGTTTAGAAGTGCTTATCAATCAATCAATCAATCAATCATTTTATTAGTTTTTACAGGTAAAAAGGTTGACAATGTTATAATTTTATAGTACCTCCGTGAAATGCTTTAACAGCATACGAATTTATATATCTGTACATCATAAAATTAAATATATATGAAAAACAAATCAAAATAACAATTAAATTAAGTAAAGTCGAAATAAAATTCTTACTCAGGCAGTTCACCCGTAGATATACATTCTATTAACATCTACCATGATAATGTTATCAAATAACTGAAACAAGTAAATATTCATAAAGGTGCAGGGCCCGACGGGATCCATCCTCTTCTCATATCCGAATGTGCCGAAGAACTTGCAACACCCATTACAATCATATTTCGTTTCTCTGTCCAAACTGGGACATTTCCCATTTTATGGAAAGAGTCTTTAGTAACCTCCATTCCAAAAAATAAAAGACGTGAATGTATAGACGAATACAGACCTATATCGAAACTTTGTATCTTTGGCAAAATCCTAGAAAAGATAGTAACCGCTCAAATGTCGTACTCTTTCCGTAATCACATTTCCCAGGAACAACACGGTTTCTTTAAGTGCCGTAGCGTTGACACCAATATGTTAACTTTTAATGACTTTCTGTTGCATGCCATGGATGATAATCTACAGGTGGACGCCGTGTACACCGACTTTTCCAAAGCTTTCGATAAAATAAATCACGATCTGCTAATAAAGAAGCTTGCAAGGGCCGGTGTGCATGGCAGCCTTCTCAGATGGATCCAATCCTACATTAGTAATAGGAGTCAAGCAGTCTTTGTAAAGGGTTATTCGTCACGATTTCTTCCAGTCCCTTCGGGTGTACCTCAAGGGTCTCATATTGGGCCTTTACTGTTTTCAGTCTATATAAATGACATTGGCAATGTCCTGAAACATAGTCACCATCTCTTGTATGCTGATGACACTAAGTTGTATCGAATCATCAGATCAATTACTGACTGCCACAAACTCCAAGAAGACTTACACCGATTACATGCATACTGTGAGTTTAACCATCTGTTTCTAAACAGCGATAAATGCTACATAATATCGTATACTCGCAAAAAAAATCCCGTTACTTTCGACTACCACATAAATCAGAAGGTCTTAAATAGAGTAACCACAATCAGGGACTTAGGTATAATCATGGATTCGACCTTATCATTTATTCCACATATTGAGCACATATTAGCTTCGGCTTTTAAAAATCTAGGTTTTATACTACGAATAAGTAAACCTTTTAAACGTCCCGAAACTCTAAAAATTTTATACTTCTCTTTTGTCAGATCTTTCCTTGATTTTTGCAGCACTGTTTGGAGCCCTTGTTATGAAGTTCATATTAGGAGAATAGAAAGAGTTCAAAAATTGTTTATTAAATCCCTAAATTATCGCCAAAATATTTTAAACCAGTCATACACCGATTCACTAAAAAAATACAATTTACTTTCTCTTTGCAATAGGCGTAAAATGTTTGACATAGTATTTCTATACAAAATCATTAATAACCTAGTCGACTCCTCGTTGTTACTTAGCAGATTGTCATTTGTTTCCCGAGTCCGTCTGCCTGTGCGCCCCTCACGTCCAAAACCACTTTTCGTAACTCCCCGATATCATAAAAATTATACGCGAAACTCATTTGTGTATCGTTCCACTAACACTTACAATAAAAAAATTCACAGATATTGATTTATTTAATACATCAATATCAAAGCTTAAATCTGCTCTCTTTCAAAGTTTGGCTTGTTAATAATCTATTTACCCTTCACTGAAAATGTGGCAGCACTCAATTCGCTAATTGAATCTGAACTAAATTTGTCAGTGTTATAATAACCATATTTTTAACATAGGTTTTTTTTCTCTTTCTTTTTCTTAATTGCACACGAAATGTTAACTAGATACCTCATATTAGAACTTAGTGTATTAATAAATAAATAAATTTATAATGTCCTTTAGTCCTAAAAGTAGCTCAATAAGTTTAAAATATTGTAAAAGTTTGGTTACAGGCACTATAGGTCTTTAGTTGTATTATTATTTATCCATGTTACTATCTATTTACATGACTGTTTGTTGCCTTGAATAAATTAAAAAAAATTATTAAATTACATATTTAAATTTTTAGTAAATAGAAATTGATTGACATTATAATAACATTTATCTATAAGAAATTTTCTAAAGATAGATTTAAATTTTCGCACATTATAAAATTTTATGTGATCAGGTAATTTATTATATAATTTAGGGGCCATTTCAACAACACTTTTTTTCATAAGGGCAGTTTTACATACATTTTTCAGGATTTTTTGTTTTCGAGAACGAAGGTTAAGCGAAGATGGTTGTACTCTTATATCAAAAAGTTCTGGATTATACTTTACAAACATACACGATTCTGGTTTATAAATACAGAGTAATGTTAATATCTTAAGAAATCTAAAGTATGGTATGCAACTTTCTGTAGCCCTGTATGTTTATAGTCCCCAAAATATGATACCATATCACAGGGTCGAAGCCATAAAGCCATGGTACGCTGTTAGAAAAGTTTTTCGGTCAGCTATTTTCAACAGTTTTTAAACAGTTTTTAAGCGGGTTTTAGAAAGGGAATGGGGTGCACAGATCAAGTCTTTTCCATGCGCATGATTGCGGAGAAGTTTTTGGCCAAAAACCAGAAAGTTTTTTGTGCGTTCATGGACTTGGAAAAGGCTTATGACAGAGTGGACAGGAATGTGTTATGGCAAACACTGAACTCATATGGGTTGAGCGCTGGTTTGATACAGGCATTAGGGTCTCTTTATAGGGACTCTAGTGCTTGTGTCAGGATCAATGGGGTCTACTCGGACTGGTTTGGCATCCAAAAAGGTGTCAGACAGGGCTGTGTAGCTTCCCCTTGGCTGTTCAACCTATTTATGGACCGGTGTTTGCAAACTTTGAAAGATGAAGAATGTGGTTTAAGAATGGGCGAGTTAACCGTCAAATGCCTTTTGTATGCCGATGATCAAGTCATATTTGCGTCATCAGCGGCTGAGTTGCAAATGATGGTTACATTAATGAACTGGGAATTAAAAGAAAGGGGAATGAAAGTGAACGCAAGTAAGACGAAAGTGATGGTTTTTGAAAGAGAAGAAAGCAAAACGGTATGTGAAATAAGAATAGAAGGAGAGTTAATTGAGCAAGTGGATGAGTTTGTGTATTTGGGATGTGTATTTAGCAGGGATGGTAGATATGATAGGGATATAGAACGACGAGTAAATGCAGGGAATAGAGTGAATGGGGCACTACACTCTATTATGAAGAACCAGAATGTGTCAAAACAGGCACGTATGGTAATTCATAATGCTGTGTTAGTCCCTACGTTAATGTATGGTAGTGAAAGCTGGGGGTGGCAGAAGAAGCACGAAAGTAGAATAAATGCTGTAGAAATGCGTTCTTTAAGAAATATGCTGGGGTTTAATCTGAATGACAGGGTGAGAAATTGCGTGATAAGAGATAAATGTGGTATGCAAGATGATGTTGTGACCAGGATTAAGAAAGGAATGCTTCGGTGGTTTGGTCACGTAGAAAGAATGAATGATGAAAGAGTGACAAAGCAAATTTATATGGCAGATGTGAACGGCCGAGTCGGGAAGGGACGCCCTAGAAAAAAGTTTGTCGACCAAATTGGCGATATTTTGAAAATGGGCCACGTTAGAAGTACCCTTAACCGACGAGCATGTATGCGTAGATATATGGATGTAAAGGAGGCGAAAGAGGTATGTCAGGATCGTGCCAAATGGAAGTCCGTAATCTCTGCCTACCCCTCTGGGTGACAGGCGTGAGTGTTTATGTATGTATGTATTTTCAACAGTTTATACAGTGCAAATGAAAATTTATATATTCTTTTGTAGACTTCTATTAATGCGATTCCCATGACATGTTGCTATCTATAAACAGCTCTAAGAATTTCACTACTTTTGTTTTAGAAATTGTTTTATTTCCATAACTTATTAGATTTGGAGCACTTTTTCTGTGTGTAAATTGCATACTTTTTGTTTTTCTAGATTAACTTTTAGATTATATGATTTTAACCATTTAATAATGCCTTCGATAGTAAAGTTAATATTATTTTGATATTCTGCTAACTCGTCAAACTGTACGAAAATAGTGAATAGGGTATTTACAAGACTCGACGATATCATTGATGTATATTATAAAGAGCAAAGGACCCAAAACACTTTCCTGTGGAACGCCACGCTTAATCGTTCTATTATTATACGTATATATTTTTTCTTGCCTTGCAGAGATACAGATCTGACTGATTACGGTTTTTGTGTCCTATCTGTTAAATAGGATTTTATTGAATTGAGTGAATTACCTCTTACACTATAACGGCTTAGTTTTTCCAGCAATATTTTATGATCCACAAAGTCAAATGCTTTCGTCATGTCCATATAAATTGCACATGATGGAATCCTTTTATCTAGACAAATAACTGCTCTTTTTACTAAGTCGTATATTGCTGTTGCGATTATAGTATTTTGGCGAAATCGTGTTTGCTCTTTGTTTAAAATGTTATGTTTTTCCAAAAATTCGTAAAGCGGACCATGAATAATTTTTTCAAATATTTTTGAGACCATTGATGGCATTGCATTGGACGATAATTATTGGCAATATTGTTATCACCTTTTTTAAATAATGGCTTTACTACAGTTGATTTCAAATTGTTTGGAAATATACCTGTAGTAAAGCTTAAATTAATAATTATAACTCAAAGGTCTTGCTATTGTAGAGCTAACATGGTTTATTACTCTTGTACAAACGTCATCAAAACCAACACTATTATTACTTTTAGACTATTTATAATTTTACACACTGAGTCAGGTTTTTAAGCCCGACAGGCTTAAAAATAGAAATTTATTATTATTA